ATATATATATATATATATATATATATATATATATATATATATATATATATATATATATATATATTAGGATTTCATACACTACATAAGAGTACGTGTCCATACAAAACAAAGTGGGAACAACTACTTCCAAGTTAGTTGCCATTGGTAAACCCGCCAACAATACATACCACTCAATCATGTAGCCTAATCGACTAACCTCTGATTCATGTTAACATATGAAAGCTAATGAGAGTAAGTTCAAATTTCTTGGATGCAACGAAAATTAAATGCAAGAAATAGCAACTTACTTTCATTATTATTACTAACTTATAGTATCATCCTTTCATTTATCTCTATTATAGAATGGCAGAATTGAGTACTTGGCAAAGTACCAAAAGCTGCACCTTTGACTATATCCATTAATAGACGGACACTGACACTCTTTCATGAGTAATTCCTTCCGCCTGGTTTTCCCTCTAAGAACCTTTCGTTTATAATGTTATTTCTTCATTAGTTCTTCAGATAATACCCGTTGTAATCAGTTCAACTATTTTATCAAATAGATGAACTACATTTCCGAAAGCAGGATATGTAGAGAAAGTTGAATTATTAGATGGTTATGATTTAAAGAAAGCAAAACTCTTATATTCTCTGTTTCACCTGTTGTTGACTTTTCATTGGTACATTTTGCATTAAAGGCGAGTTTCCATCTCTAAGCATCAACCAATTATGAAATCAATTATAATTGAAGCGGAATGAAGTCATGAACTGATTCTTAAAATAAGTGTTATCTGTTAGAGGAGAATATTGAAGATCAGTGTGGGATGAGCCAACCCAATCATCCACCAATTCTTTCCATTTTCTATAACAATGAAAAACAACAAAATGGTATTTAATTTTCCATATTTGTTGATCTTCAAAAAGACTAACCTCATAAGGTACTTCACCAGTGTTCTTACTTCATTTGATGGATGCTTACGCAATCAATTAATATCCCTTCCTATATCAGTTTCCTAAATCAAAGTTTGGAATTCATATATAATTATCTTTGATTCATCAGATCAATATTAAAGGAAGAGATAGAAAAAGGTTTCGTTTACCTTAAGCTCTTTGAATGTTTTTTTCCCCAATTACCCTTCTACCTAAGAAATTGCAAAAATCATTAACAATTTCAATTTTAGAGTTTGTGGTTTCTCGAGTTTCTCTTGAAAAGCCCTAAATCTCACCCTCTTTTAACAAAACAAAATGAAAGGCGTTTGTTTGGTGATGAAGGTGGAACGTGGTGAGAGACGAAAGAAAAAAAAAAAGACATTGATATCTTCTATAAAATCCTTATAAAGTCTTCACTCTGAGCATATGTTAAAATATAATTAAGCAATAACGGTTATCCAAATAAGATAAACCAAATTCCAATAATTCAACACCTCAAAATGGGATAATCGGTTATCTATTACAAACCCCCTGACCGACTTATTAAAAAATGATGCATAATGCATTTGAGTGGTCGGAAGCAACAACAAGAGCATTTGATTTGCTCAAAGAGGCCTTGCATTTATCTATGGTTAAGAGTCAATCAAGAGAACCATTCATGTAAATGAGAATTTGTCAAAGTATTTAGCTATTTTAATTGGTGTATTTCCTTTTTTAGTCACCTAGAGTCAATGGTTTGTTTCTCTTATTTAATGGGTGTAATGCCGTGATCAAAGCACCGAATTTGAAATTAATTTGCTTCTCTCCAAATGTGGTGAACATTCTCGAATTTTATCATTCAAAACCTAGTAATTTGGACCTTGTGTTTGCATGTGTATCAGAAAAAGTAAACTTTGTTCCTATTTCCTACAATTTGCCAAAATATAACAGCAAAAAAAATGAAAATCATCTCTCGTAATTAAGGATCAAAAAGAAAAAATGGGCAAGTTTGCGTTTCTACAAACCCCCATCCCAAATCCAGCCATTTCCTCCCTAAGATCATTAGTCTCATCCCATCTTCCATATCTTTCCTTATTTATCGGATCAATTTCAATCAAATGATCAAAAGCAAGTCTCCCAATTTCAACATCACCACAAACCGAAGCCCCATTAAACAATGCATCCCAAACTTTTTCACTAGGCTCAAAAGGCATTCTCTTTATCAACTCCACAGCTTCATATAGCTTCAATGCTCGACATAATTCACCTATCATACATTCATAATGCTCCATTGAAGGCTGAATACCATATTTACACCACATACTTTCCAATACCCTAAAAGCTTCATTTACAAATCCATATTGAGCACAAGCTGATAATATAGATGTGAAGGTCACGTGATCCGGATATATACCTTCTGTTATCATTTGATTGATTAAATAAAATGTTGTATTTACATCTCCATGTGATGCGTATGCTGAAATTATTGATCTCCATATGATTACACTTCTCTTTTCTGATTGGTCAAATACTATTCGGGCCCCATTGAGAAAACTTAACATAGCATAGGTGTCAATAATCCCAGATGATACATAAATGTTTGTGTCATAACTGTTTCTGATTGCATACGCGTGTGTCTCTTTTGATCCTTTTAGATTTGATAAATGTGAAAGTGTAGGAAAAATGTTTGAGTGTTACAGCGTTTGGTTTGACTCTGTGTTCATCTTGCATCTCATGAAGTAAATCGATTACCTTTTCATACTGATTGTTCTGAAAATGACCTGAGATCATAGCATTCCATGTAATAAACCCTGGTTTTTTCATTTCCCTGAAAAGATCCATGGCTTTTTCTACAAAACCATGTAGCATGTATCCTGATATCATAAAGCCATAGCTACTCTCATCTTTCTCAGACATTTCTTCGAACAGTTGTTGTGCATAGTACATGGCGATGCCTCCACAGTTCACATACATCCTGATAAACGCATTGCAAACTGGGAGATCTTTTTTGATTTCGTAATCTATAACAAATCTATGAACTTTCATTCCTAAATCAAGATCTTTTGACTGTTCGCATGCTTGCAGGATGCTGATTACTGTGAATTCATTCGGTGTTATGTCTTGTAAGCCCAACATCTGAAAATATATTTCCTTGCATTCATCATAGAACCCTCCTTGTGAATACCCTGCCATCATGAAATTCCAGGACACGAGATCTTTCTCAGGTGCATGATCAAACAAGCTTCTTGCTGTAACCATATCTTTACACCTACAATAGAATATTATCAAAGCGTTTACAAAGAAGATATTGGAGTCCAGCCTGTTTCGGATGATAAAACAATGGACTGTTTTAGTGAAGTTCGATTTGTAATAACCCAACGAGGGTAAAGCTTTTAACAAACATGTAACGGTGTAATAATCTGGTTTTACAGACATCGAGGAGGCAGATAAGAAACTCCGTAAAAGCTTCGGTGTATGATCAGTGTTCTTGTTGGGAATTTCGGCGAACACGTTGTGGGCTTCGAAATGGTTGTAGGTTTTAGAGTAACAAGTGCTGAGTTTTGAAGCCAAGAAGTTGTCGAGAGTGACGGTGGAGAGGATGAATTTGGCATGGAGGAGCTTGGATTGGCGGATGAGACGGTGGTTGGTGTGGCGTTGAATGAGGCTGAGCCCATTGGGGATATGGTGGTGGTGGTGGTGTATGGTTTGCGCAGTGGCGGGTGGAATTTGAATACTCAAAAGTTTTGTGAATCTCATTCGCTTGGACCGATGCTTACATCAAGTTTAAAGAAGCCTCTCACACCCAAAGTGAGAGAACATTATGGCTTTTCTCTTCCATTGATTATGAGTGTATACACATTTAATATGCATCGCAACCCTAGCTTGGCGTCCAAGGAAGCTTAGGGTGCATGCAACTTATGTTAACTAAATACAAGATAACGACAACCAATAATAAGGATAAAAATACTTGGTAAATACTATGACTAACGGGCCCTGGTGATCCGATGTTAAGGTTGTCTCTAATATTTTCATATAATCTTAGCGGGAGGCGATCGGATGCTAAGGTTGCCTCTAAAATTAATCTTAAACAAAACACCGATGAAGTCCTAAGGTGAAATATGGAAGGCACACGAAGTACTCGAATGTCAAAAGCTACTTTTTCCTGGACAAAAATGGAAATTCATTTGAATTTATTTCGTTGGTTGATTATGAACGGGTTGCCCAAGAGATATAAGGAGTCGTATCGAATAGATAATGAGTTAAAAGTCACAACATCTTCAATTAGGGATGTTAAAAAGTCACATGATACCCAGATCTGGTGGAAGCCCCATCCAATATGGGATAGAAAGATAGAAAAAAATCAGGAGGGGCATAGTTAACCCCCGTTTTAATTTCAGGGGCGGGGACGGACATGGACGAGTCCCATTAATGTTAAGGTAGGTAACTTGACCTACCTAATTTTAAGTTCTTTATTATTAATTATATATAATAATGGTTTGTGACCTATCTTAATTCTTTTTACTGGCCTAGCTAATAAGAATTGAAAGCTCGTAACGTTTTATATTTCATTTATTCATTAGCCCAAAAATTGAATTCGTTTGGCCCACTGTATTTGAAATTAGATAAGAATAAAAGGAAATAGAATTAAAAAATGAACCACAATTAGTATTTTTTGAACTTTTTTATGGATTTTAATAAAATAGTAAACCATATAGTTTTATGTTCTAGACTCGCCACTGGGGACGGGGGTGACAGTCTCATCCCGAAAACCCCATGGGGGTCCCGTTAATAAATTATATATATTTACATATATTAATTATATAGAATAATTTTTACGTAATTATATAAATATAATAAACAATAAAATGATTTTTACATACAAAAATTAAAAAAAAACATATTTTTAAGTTGTTTGTAAAATATAAATTATGTTATAAATAACTATTTGTTACTTAAAAAATAGTTTTTTTTAGCCAAAACAATAACTTATTTTAGCCCAAATAAAGTAGGCTAAAATCAATCGGAGGCGGGGATAAGAAGGAAAATTGGGGGCGGGGAGAGGGAATGGGATCCTTGTCTCGTTCGCCGTGTTGACATCCATATCTTCAACTTAACATGAGTATTTTGTATTCAATAGTTAAAATGGGCCGGAAGAATGTTTGATTGCATGCTAACGCTTTTAATCCAATGATATAAAAATATAAATGGATTAAATAATGACCGACATTAAGTATATGGTAAAAAAATAGATAGGATAAAAAATTTAGAAAATTATAAATATATTATGTGATGTTCAATCTTTCGATAGTCTTTGTTTTAATATTTGTTGTTTAACATAATTTGATAAAATATAACTTGAATGAGTCCATTTTTATTCAAATGAGTTGAAAACAAAAGGTTTTATAGCTTATTATTATTAATTATGTTGATATGATATCTTTCGCTTCAAATAATTAAAAGTTCAAAACTCAACAATGAATAATGATATAATATAAAAATAGATTAGAAAGTATATATATGCTGAAAAAAATATAAATAAATTGAGAATATAACACATTATATATATATATATATATATATATATATATATATATATATATATATATATTAAAGTTGTGAAAAGTTTTAACAGTAAACCTGAGACATTTTGGCCAATTTTGGTCCCTTAAATTACATTTTCGGTCCCTCTATTTTTGTTTCTGTCACTTTAACTAGGTTACTCTTCATCGGGCTCGCTCCTCGACCATGGTAAGAAATATCCGTCGTTCAGTTTCTTTGTTCTTATCCAACCTTTTCTTCTCCCATCAAAATCGTCTAGAAGCCCTAAAACCACCCCACCCCACCGATCGATTTTGCTAACGTTCATCGCCACCGCCATCCACTCCACCGCCTCCACTCTCTCCATACCTTTACTCCTGTTGCTATAAGGCGGTGGGATAAAACCGACGCTTA